CCACTGCGCCCCAGGGAAGCCCCCAGGAGCTGCCTCTTAACAGTTGTCATGAGAAGTGGATCTGTAGTAGGAGAGTGGCGTGCTCAATGCAGAGAAGAAAGTCACAGGAGGCAGAGAGAGCATCTGGAGATTTGTCCCTGGATCCAATTGTACCTGAAGCCAGCCGCATCCCTGCCCACTGTACAGTTCGGTGCCATGAACCAAGAAATGCCACCTTTTGCCCAAGTTGGTTCCATTCAAGTCATTGTCCCCTACCATAAAGATCCTGACAAATACCAGGAAGAGGTCAGTCCCTGCCCTGAGTGGGGTGGGATACAGACACGGCCGTCCTGTGTGTCTCTCCATCCCTCCACCCTGCTAGTTCAGGTTCAGCTGGAACTTAACAGTGTTACTGTTTAGACAGCATCAAGGTCATGTGACAGCTCGCGTGGTAATATGTTATACATTCTTCTCCACGAGACCGTGAACTCCATCAGGAAGACTGGCCACTTCTTTGTCATGTGACTTCTCCTAAGGTTTCGCATTTCTAAAACTAGGGTGCTCGTGGTATCTACCTCTCAGAGTAGCTGGGAAAATTAACTGAGTGAATACATACAGAGGGATGTGCTGTCCTCTTATCTGCTCTTCTTTCTCTCAGTACTCAGCTCAGTGCTTTGCACTGGCCAGGCACTAAGTGGGCACCCTGCAAATGTGTGTCCCGTGCACGGAGATGCAGAAAGACATGCCCCGCACCAGAGTGACACCCACGGACACACACACACATAGGATAGTAGCACTAAGATCTCAGTATGCTACACAGTGACCCTCCTGGGAGCCCAGGGCATCCCCAGCCCCTGGCTTCTCTGGAGGGCAGCCTGCAGCTCTCCCAGGCTCTCAGCTGTTATCCCCGCGGCTCCACATTGCTGGGAGCACAGCTTGAAGCCTGGTTCTGCTTTACACCACGTATCAAGGACAGCAGGACCTGTGGTGTTCTAGGAGCTGAGGGAAGTGTGTGTGTGTGTGTGTGTGTGTGTGTGTGTGTGTGTGTGCGCGTGCGCGTGCACGCGCGTGCGCTGGTTAACTTGGGGGGACCAGGGGCTTGCTGGAGCTCTCGCTTCCAGAACTGCTGTTCTCTGAAAGCTCTGTCTCATCACTCCCTTAAGTCTGCCAGTCTCTTCCAATCTCCCTGCCTCCTCAAGTAGCCCCCCACACTAAGTCCTGCCTGGGGGCTCTTGTGGGGTCTGGCTTGGTCTTTTTCCTGAAAAGAGCAGGGCTTGTCTGTGGATCTGGGTCTCTGGACTCCTGGTTTGCCTGCCGGCCTGCCCCCTTCCCCCTTTCCCAAGACCCTCATGGCCCACATGCTCCCCACAGCCCCACGCCCCCCCCCTCCCCTCAGTCTTTCAGTTGCGCTCAGCTGGGGAGTATTATTCTCTCAGGATGTTCTGGGAGAGCACGCTGTGAGCTGTGCCAACCTCCGGGGAGGGGGCGTGGCCTTGAGTGGAGTGAGGATGCTCCTTAGAGCCTCTTGTGCTGGGGACAGTGCGTTTGGCCAGGTGCGGCCTTCAGTGTGGTGTGTACTGTAACACCAGCACTGCTTGTGTTAAGACTTTGTGTGGAATGTCTTAGTGTGAGAGGTAGGTGGCCAGGGGGGTTGTGTTTTGGGTCGCTGTGCATCGTGCTCAGGGCATTAACCCTTTGTGTGGCTACCCAAGGTCCCTGGGCCCTGAAAAGATAATTGGGTGGAAGGGCACCTCTCTTCCAGGTGCTTCCCGCGCCCTCCTTCCCCTTCCCACGGTTTCACTAGATCCCAGTGTGCCTGAGGTCTCTTAGCGCGGCTGAAGCTCAGAAAACCCGGCAGAGGGGAGGAGAACCCCGATCCGGGGCCCTGCTGAGTTCAGGGCCCTTATTTCGTAGGCCACCACTCACACTCCTTTGCCGTAAGGACAGGTGGGAGTTCCCAAGCCCCTCGACTGGTCCCTTCCCAGGCCCTGGTCCACCCTCCCAACAAAGGCGGCCGACCACGTGCCCCCTCCTCCCCGCGGGCCTGGAGTGCGGGGCACGCAGCCCCCGGTTCCCGCTCCAGCCAGGGCTAGATCCCGACGCAGCGCTGTGCCCCAGGTGGGCGCCCAGCAGCCCCCAGCAGCCCCGCCGCCCCCGTCTGTGCCTCGCCCACTCCCAGCCGCTGCCGCTGCAGCACCCTGGAAGACCGCTAGGGGGAGCTCTGGCAACTGGCTTGGCGGATTGAATGAAAACCGCGCATCAAACAGCTCTTCCTCGGACTTGGGGTGGGGGGCAGGATGGGGAGGAGGGCGACGCGCCGTTACCCTTCCTCAGCAGCTGCAGACTCTTCCCGTGGGAGGCCGAGGAAGCAGCCCTGGGGGGTGAAGGTGCCTTTTTTCTCCCCGTAACTCACGCCTCCATAGTCTTCCTCTTCCTCCATCCCCATCGCGGGCCCTTCGCGGCCCCCCGGGCTCTGGAGTGTCCCTGAGAACTTTGCCTCGCGCGACACCGGGACCCAGAGCCCAGCGGGCTCCTGGGACTGGCTTGCGTCCGCCTCTCGGAGACTTGGGTGCGGGGCCTCTCGGCGGCAGCCCCTCCTCTCGCTGCGGGAGGCGTGAAGGCTGGGGTCGGGGACGTGAGTCGTCCTGCGGGGTGGCTCGTGCAGCAAAGCTCGGGAAGCGCAGGGGCGAGAAAGAGAGCGAGAGGGCACTGAGGAGACCGCCAGGGACGGGGGGGGGGGGGGGGGGGGGGGGGGGGGGGGGGGGCCGGCGTGGAATAGTTCTCCTTCAGTCTCCAGAAGGAACCAACCCTGCTAATACTTTGACTGCGGATTTCTGGCCTGACCTGTAGGAGAATTAACTTCTGTTGTTTTAAGCCACCCAGTTTGTGGTAACCTGTTACGGTGGCCACAGGAAACTTACATAAATGCTAACGTAGAAAATTAAAATCTAGGTATATGACTCCCATTTTAATTTAATAAAGTCACTTTCCCCACTAAGTGGTTCCAGGGGGGAGGACGCGAGCTTCCTCGGGGCCTTGGCGCATTCTCCCACTCTGAGGTCATTCCGTAGGTGGTCAGCGGGGAGAGCGCGCCTGGAGCCTTCCTGCCTCCATCCACTGGGGAGGGAAGAGAGGCGGGCGGGAGGGAGGGGAGAGGGAGAAGGGAGGGGCGCGAGGAGGGAGGGAGACGCCGCCAGCACACCACCAAGTGGCACCGAGCAGTGATAACAAACTCAACTTAAAAAAAAGAAAAGGAAAAGGAAAAAACTTCCCCAAGTTGCAGCCCGAGATGTGCGGACGTGCGGGCGGAGACGCAGGGCGGGGAGTGTGGGTGGCCCGCAAGCCCCCCGGCGTCCCCCGGCTGCTCTCCCCAGCCGAAGAGAGCTCAGACGTGAGGCCGAGCAGGCCCTGCGCCCCTGGCAGGTCAGGAAATGTGCTGGAGGCTCGCTTGGCTTCCTGATGGAGACCCTGGGGGCGGCCGGTTCCCGTGGGGGGCAGGCCCCTCTAGGGAGGGGGGCCCGGGAAGCGCGCAGCGCCGGCTCCTTCCCCAGCAAGCAGCACCACACCCCCATTCCGCTCCCACCCCCGGCCCTGAGGTTGTGGGCAGATCCTGCCCTCCCAGGCCCAGGAGAGCTGGGGTTTGCCGGAGGGTAGGGGTCTCTCCTCACCACCCTCTATCCTCCCCTCCACCTCCAGGCTGACCTGAAAACAAGGCACCGCCATCCTCTATAATCGACTTTTTATTAAGGTTATAAATTTAAACAAATCTGAACAGTTTTACCCGGTGATATACAATTCAGTATGCACAAAAATACAGGGGAATGAGGGAGAAGGGCCAAGAAAGGAAGGGTTGGCAACTTGTTTTGGAGTCCACATGGTGCTGATGATAGAGAACCAGAGGGGCTGCAGACCAACCCCACCTTTTTACAACAAAAGGCTTTAAATTAAACAAGATCTATCGAGCTGAAGACACAGGACGGGGTTGTCACAGGCTCGAACAATGCTGGTTTCATGAAATGCAACCGAAGGCTGAACCAGGACAGTGCAACTTAGAAGCACACACACAAACACCACATCTGACCAGGAACTTAGTGAAAAGTCTCCAACGCAGTCGGCGGTCCCGGCCCCTCCCTCCCTCGGGGCCGCCGGAGATCCAGGTGAAGGAATCGACTTCCTTTTTTGTTTAGCGAGGACCGCAGTGCTGGGCATGATGGGAAATGTAGTCGGCTGTGCCCGCCCCCCACCCCTTCCCCAAACAGTGTCCGAGAGTGTCGGGGTGTCGGGCGCCACCCCCGAGCCTGGAAGACGGGTGGAGGAGGGGAGGAGAACAGAGCCAGAGGGGCGGGGAGAGGAGGGGTTCAAGACACCCGCCCCGCGGAGAAAAGAAAAAAAAAAGTTGAAGTGTTTTCATTTCTGCCTTCTCATTTTGAGAACTTTGGAGGCCGCCCCCAGAGAGGAAATGTGACCCAAACGTCCCTTTCGGAGATAGAGTTTGCCTTTGTTTTTGCTCAGGATTTCACAAGACCCATTCCTCACCCCACGGAGGGACTCGGGAGAACGGAGCGCCGGGCTTCCTAGGTCTGACAACTGATTGGAATCGGAGCCCCGGGCCCCGCGCCCTCCTGCGCTGCGCCCCCAGCGCGCCCCGGCGGTCCGGGCGCCCTGCCTCGCCCCCGGCTGCCCGGCACCTCCGCCGGGCAGCAGCCCTTCCTCACGTGGCTGGCTCCTCTCTAAACACCACTGCAGTCACTACAATAAAAAGAAAGAAAAAAAAAAAAGAGTAGGAGAAACACAAAGCATACTTAAATAGGCGCTTTTTCTCTCTGCAAAAATAAAGTCCAAGATCTTAGATTTTTTTCTTTTATTTTACAATTTATAAAACATCACCATCTCCCTCTGCTCGCCCCCAGCTCAGCCCCGAGTGGCCGGGTGCCCGTTCGTTCCCTCCTCTCGCCCCTTGGCCGAGTCTTTGTCTGGCCCCAGCCCCGCGGGGCCCCTGGTCCCCGTGCCCTCGGGGGTCCCTAGAAGGCGACAATGGCTCGAGTCCAGGCGCCGAGGCTGGCGAGCGCCTGCTTGGCGCACAGCTGCCCGTTGAGCGGCGGCGGCTGCTCAGAGGAGTCCGGCTGTCGGCTCACTAGCCCGGAGAAGCCCGAGCCAAAGATGGAGATCAAGTTTGAGATGTTGGACGCGTCCGGGGACGAGTCCGGGCAGAAGTCCTCGAAGCGGGCGCGCTTGCAGGGGGCGAACGGGACGCCCCCGGGGGGCTCGGCCCCCAGGTCGCCCGCGTCCTCGTCGTCGTTGTCCTCCTCCTCCTGGCCTGGGTAATACTTGCGCTTGCAGCCGGCGGCGGACGCCAGGCCGGGTCCCGGGGCGCCCTGGCCACAGCAGGGGCAGTGGGCGGAGGCGCAGCAGTCCTGGTGCAAGTAGCCGTTCTCCACCGTGGTCACCACGTGAGTGTCCAGGTCCAGCACGGTGGTCTGGCTGCTGCAGTGCACGCCGAAGTCCGAGGGGGCCGGGTACGCGCCCCGGTAGAAGCCGGCGGAGGAGGCGGGGGCCGGGGAGGCGGGCGGGGAGGCGGCGGTAGC